TTCCAACTTAGCAAAAAACGTATTGCTCTAGAATAAGTTTTGTCCACATTCTAGTTTAAACATAAAAAAATTCACTACTAAGCTCTCAACAACTTCTATACTCTCTATTTTAGCCTTTGTGGTGTAGTCGTGCAAAAAAAATTGCGATTATCATATTTACAAATGCATACATATTTCAAACACATGAGCTACCTAAAATATAAACAGTTACCACAATGAACATACCAAGTATTTAATGTCTGTATATCTAATGCATAACCTCAAAATAAAACAAAACCAAAGCAACTAACAAAAACAGTAAATAATAACCCTCGTTTTTTTGTGCACACTTGAACTGAGTGAACTGCTAGAAACAGTTACAGTTCGGCTTATTCGTTGTTTTAAACAACGACAAATTTGTTTTGCGGTTTTCTGGTTGAAAACAGAGTTTTGCTCCTGACAGTTGACATTCTTTTGCGGGTGTTAAAATTATTAAAATAATTGAAAGCGTCACACAAGCAGTACACAAATTTGTGCGATGAGTTCAGCGTTTCTGATAGAATTTAACATAGCACACGAGTCGATTGTTCTTCCTCTTCACTCTCCACCTGGGCTTTTCCAAGCAAAGAAGGCCTTCATCTTCCTCTATTACCACTAGCGAGTATCATATTGAATACTTTTAGGGCTGGGAAATACACATATGTAAATTCGTACGATATGTCGCTACGCTATGTTTAGGTCCCTGGAAAGCTCTCACAGCTCATCACTCCATCGCCTTCCGTGCTCGCTATCGCAGCATCGCAAAATTTTTCCTCAACAGCTGATGTTATCACCTGCGTTTCTGCGTCCTTAACTCGGCAGGTCGGGTTCATCTTCATCATATAAACCTTGCATCTCGTTCGTGGAATGAGAACTTTTTTACACAGCTGCCTACTCTGCTCATATCAGCATTAATTGGAAAAAGGGACCTATAGCTCGTTTCTGTAACCCTTCTCTACCGATTATTTCTCTACTGGTAGAGAATATACATACGTCATTCTCTAGTACTCATTAGCAGTAGAGAACAAGGTCTTGGTAAAGAATTGTTACAGAAACGAGCTAGTGATCTGTTGGTCTTCAAGGTGCGTACGACGAAAAAAATAATAGCGCTTGGCTAAGAATTTTTACTTAATCCGCTGTAGAGCCCATCTAAATGTCACTTGTCTCAGTCTCTGATACCTGAGAAGTTCTAGTGTAATTTTTTTAAGACAGTACCATTACTGATAAAACCTTCCGTGAGTTGAGTATAACAACAAAATTGCTTCCAAGAAACTACAAGACAAGATGCATGTCCCACACATTCCCCGAAAGTTAGTGCAAATTTTATTTCGACAATAAAGATGACCGCCATCGACTTTCGTCACCGGCTTGGATTTCAGATTACCAGGGCTAGATCACCTAACAGTTCGATTTTTATATCAAAACAAATAGTGAGTAAGGTCATACAGATAACGAAAAAGAAATATCGACCCCGTTGCGCGAAATTATCGTACCACAGTGTGGCGACTAGAAGAAGCTACATAGCTGGCCAAATTATTTTATTAGTGTCTTAGATAGATAAGGTCGAAACTAAAAAAATGTTCTAGGGTCAGGGTCGGAATGCCAAAATGTGTTAATATGAGAAAAGTAGTATTTTTATTATTTGTGGTATACGTTTTAGAATGCTATAGCTATAGGGCCGAATGAATATTTTTTAGAAAGAGAATTTGAAGAATATATTCTAAAATATCTTAAATATGGCTTCAAAAAAAATTTTGTTTCTGGTTTTCGAATTAAAAAATTCTTCCATGAAGACAATTTGTTTTTTACACACTGTGGGAGTGTTTCTCGCGCAAATATACGGTTGTTCCTTTGAAGTTTATAACAAGTTTTATGTTCACTTTGAAGCAGTCTTCGTATAGATGCCACTTGCTAATAGCAAATACACCTTTTGAAAATAATTTTTTTTCTAATAGCTGTAGCGTTAGTTGGGCTTATAATAGGATTCAATAAAAAGCCTGAAAAAATAAACTGAAAACAGCGGTAATACATACATACTGTCTACAAATTCACCATACGAATTCTAGTTAACTATCACAAATTAAATATAAAATCTATATATAAATACGCCACAAAAAATTATTAAAATCCCTTTTTCAGGGCACCGTTCGCTCGATTTCAATGAAAAATACACCAATTTAAAGGATACAACTTCTTCTAATCCAGAAATATTAATCCCGTTAGGTAGGGGCGTGGCATCTGACATACAGACTAAAATGTGAAAACCGATATATCTCTAACCCCAATTACACTGGGAAACTGAAACTTGGCCCCGATTCATAAATTCTAAATACCACACTTATGCCGAAAAAGGGCAGGTATTGAAAAAATGGCGTGGCACCTCACATAAAAACAAAAATTCTCATATCGCTTACCTCTGGAACCGCTTACGCTAAAGTCCTGAAATTTGACACAGCAACATACGTTGTCAATTCCGTACCTACGGCGATGAGCGGTAGATTTTGGAAAATGGGGCGTAGTATTGTTTACATTTTTTCCTTCGCGTTTTACTTGTCTCCTTCGCAATTGCGCCAAAATGACGCTACGCAAAAATTATCCTCTCTGATGAGCGCAATCTTGTATTCTATCATTCTTGCCTACCAGCATATAAACCTCGTCTCAATCTTATTAAAAACATTTGAGAGACTAAGCTAACTTATATTAAAGAGCTAATGCTGGATAAATCAACAGAGTCCACTCTTCATAATTTAGTTTTCCAAATGTAAAATACTCTGAAGTAAGGGGAATACAAAACTGAAATGACAGTAGTCGAAAGTTCTAGCTTTAATTAAAGCCTCAGTGGAAAGTTCTATAAACTTTTCTTTCTTTGCCAGAGCTTCTCAAATATTTCAAAGAACGGGATTATTTGACAGTTTTATTTTGTTTATCTCAAAATGTGGACCTGATGGAAACTTTATACTTACAGATTTAATATTTGCATCACTAAAATCAGTGTTGCCTTGTGTTATGCAGATGATGCAGCAATTAACATCTCTCATAGACGTCAAAACTCGAGTCGAGAGAACATTTGAAAATGTTCACAACTGGACTGAAAACGTGTGGCTTTTTACACGGAAATATAAGATTTTACTCGCATGCTGGTCTCCACCAAATAGTACTCTAACTTCTAAACTATTTACCATATAAAAGAGCTATGTATGTATGTATTATGGACAAAAAACTGAGGTAGAAGTTGAGTGTGGAAGAGAGAATTAATAAGGCTTCTAATGACTTATACGCTTGCAGGAAAACGCTCGGTAAGACATGGGGTATATAGCATAATGGGCTTGGTGATCCCTGTTATCGCTAACGAGTTTCTGTCGAACGATTTTACATGCGGCATAAACTTCATTCTGCTCAGAGGAATAGTTGGTGTAGGGAAGTCCAGCCGGTGGACTGCGGCCAAACTCAGCACAAGGGTTGGGTGGGGTAACACAACCAGTTGGTCAATTTAAAGCGCTCGATTATATATATATATATAATCGTAATTTCGGCCAAAAAAACTCAAATTTTTGGTTATAATACTGGGTGGCGCCGAATGAGCTATATGGTTTGACTTCTTTTTAACAGTTTTCTTTGGGGATATTTGAAAGAAAGAGTGTACGTTAACAAACCAAGAACCATTATCCAACTCCAAACTAACATTCGAAATGAAATCAGGGCCATTACACTCGAAATTCTACGAGAAGTTATGGAAAATATGCTAAAAAAAGCACGTATGTGCGAAGCAGAAAATGGACATCACTTACAGGATATCATTTTTCAAAGCTAATTGCAAAAAATTCCCCAATAATATACTGTGTTAAAAAAAAAATATAATAATCGCATAAATAAACAAGTAAGAAAGTCTAAGTTCGGGCGGGGCCGAACATTAAATACCCGGCGCAAGTATTACATATAAGCCTTTTCACCTTTCCGAAAGCTACCGCTACATGGTAAGCCGGGGTGTATCAATTTTGAATAAATTAGCGTCCTTAAATTTCGAAATATTGACGTTTCGAGCATTTCTAAAATTTACCGTTATATGAAAAGCCGTAATTTTAGTCCGATTTCAATAATTTTGAACGTTTAGCTTTTATGTGGCAAGCACAATAACCATACCGAGTTTGGTACAAATTGGTAAAACGGTTACCGAGATACATATATGTGATCATAAGTGGGCGGTGCCACGCCCATTTTCCAAAATTTTATGATAAGCGTATTTCCTGATAAAGAATTGTTCCAAGCATCAATTTTGAATAAATTAGCTTCAATATTTACGGATTTATCGAAGATTTCGTATTTCTCCAAATTACCGTTATATGGGATGTGGGCGTGGTTATTGTCCGATTTTTAAAATTTTATAATATTCTTATTTTTCGTCTAAAAGTTATTTCAAATATCAATTTTGAGTGAATAATCTTCAGTAGTTACTAAAATATCGCAGTTTTCGTATTTCTGAGAATTACCGTTATATGGGAGGTAGGCGTGGTTATTGTCCGATTTTGCCCATTTTCAATACCATCCGTCCTACGCCCGAAAGAAGTACACGTACCAAGTTTCGTTAAGATATCTTAATTTTTACTCGAGTTATCGTGTGCACAGACGGACGGACAGACGGACGGACAGACAGTCACCGCTTAATCGATTTCTCTTTTCATCCTGATCATTTATGTATACATTTGTTTATATCTATCCCGATTCGTTTTGCCTGTTACAAACAACCGTTATGTGAACAAAGTTATAATACCCTTGTGCACAAGTGCGCTCGGGTATAATAAATCAAAAGAATTTTCACTTCCGTAGTGTGGCATAGGCATAGTTTTTTATACCCGAGCGCACTTGTGCACAAGGGTATTATAAC